AAAGTAGCTCAGGTTCGCGAAAACCGCAACTTTCTATCTTTCATAATAACTGAGATATCCTGCAAACCCATCGAAATTTGGACACCCTGTACAAAGTAACGAATACTTTTTGTGAAAGTAACTGATAGTTACAAATACTAAAAAGTAACTAAACTTTACATCACTAATGGACATGTACTGAAGATTTGTAAAGAATTAAATTCTCTATCTGATACGTTAATCAAATATGGGGTGTTCCATTTACAATTGTCGACTTTTTTGCAATTGAATATGGTAAAACAGTAGTTACATTTTTGAACATCCTGTATAATAAAATAGTAAAAATATTTTCAGTTTATAGTATGCTAAATTTCCTACAACTTTTGTCTATGAAGAACCGCGTATCTTGGCTTCTTAATGCCATTCATATAGTTTGTAGCTTACGTGGGACACCTGTATAACTACACCAACTGATTTCAGAAAATCATCCATCAAATCGAAAGTGCTCGATAACCTTCAAACCTTCATAATAAATAATCATGCTTAGTTGAATATCATCTTGGAAATATTTAATTAAGTTCCCACAATCAAAATTTAACAACTTAGGCTAAACACATACTGACGCGACGAGCAAAGCGGCGAGCAGAGCGGTGAGGAAAGCGGCGAAAACAAACTATACATATCCAAATGAGTAGAACATAGTGGTGCGGCGCGGCGCCAAGTAGCAGTGTGGTCATAAGAGAGGATAGCGGCGCGTTCAAGCAAGTTTGTTTTCTCCGCTCTCCTCTTTGATACAAAATGGATGTTGAAGCTTTAATACATGAAAAGTTACATGAAAACGTTACATGAAAAGTTACAAAAATAAAATAAAATGGTTGAGAAATTGCAAGAGGTAACCACTTTTTATGAGTTCGCGAAAACCAGAAATAAAATGTATAAATGCGCATGTGTTGAAAATAAAATAAAATTACATAGAGGGTGTTCAGATGAAACAAATCCCTTCTGCGAGTATAATTGTCTGCGAGGCAACAACTCTAAAATCTGTTTTTTAAAAATGTATGTAATGTATATAATTTGTATTTTGTAGTTAATATTTCCAGGCGTTGAATAGTAAGGTAAGGGAAGGGGATAATAAAATTTGGATTTTTAAATTAATAGAAAAATATAGGATAGGGAATACAAGGATAGGGTGTAGACAGGAGTTGGGTGTTGCCGCAGGGACCCCAAAATCTGCGAACAGTGTGTGCGGCTAAGTACACTGATCCTCGGTATTTTGGGGAAATGGGTTATTGAGGCATTTGTATAAGGGTGGCTTTAAGGGGAGGACCTGGTCATTAAGGCACTCAAGTCTTGTATTAGTTTTTATGAATTTGTCTATTTCATAGCTCTCTAAAAGCTCAAGTTTGTGGCCTTTATTTTGTTTATGTATCAGTGTTACATTTTCTTTAATATCAAAAGTGTGGTTGTGCAGAGATAGGTGTTTACCAAAATTAGAGTTGGGTTTTATTAAATGTTCTCTAATTCTTGTTTTTAGGGCTCTCCCTGTTTCGCCAATATATGTGGCTCCGCAAATATTACATTCTAAACTGTAAACACCGTTAAGTTCCAACAAGTCTAGCTTATCTTTTGCATTATGCAAAAGTTTTTGTAAGGTGTGATTGTTTTTGTAAGATATGCTGATTCCATATTTATTGAAAATGTTTCTGATATTGTGAGCTATTTTGCCGGGATAAGTAATTGATCTGTATGTATCAAAGTTTTGAGTTATAGGTTGAAGACCTGTAGAGTTGTTAAGGTTTTGTTTAAAAATGAATTTATTAATTATTTTGTCAATTTGGGATAATTGAAAACCATTGTTAATACCTATACTCTTAATGATATTAATTTCTGTGTTTCTATCTTCGTTTGAAAGGGGGGTGTTGAAACATCTATATAGATAAGCATTAAAGGCAGCTAATTTGTGTGTTGTAATGTGATGAGAATAATATGGGATTATGGTGTCTGTTTGTGTTGGTTTTCTGTAAATTTTGTATTGAATAGAATAATCGGTATTAACTAAGGTGAGATCTAAGAAGTTTAGTTGTTTATGTTTTTCAATTTCTATAGTAAATTTATGATTTTTATGGAGGTTATTAATGTATTTATGGAAATCATCTATCAAATTGAATCCGTCATCATCCCAAATTATCAAAATATCATCAACATATCTGAGCCACAGGACTATATTATTATTGTTAATGTTATCTTTGTGTAAAATTTTGTTTTCTATATTATTAAGGAATATGTCGGAGAGTAGACCGCTCAAGGGGGATCCCATTGGAAGACCCTCATTGTATTGGTAAAATTTATCATTGAATAATGGCGTAGTTGTTCATACAAATGATGAAATTCGCCATGTATATGTCTACTTTTATTTATTTCATGTACATTACAATTTCTCTCTTCCTTTTATATTTTAATAAATACAAATTTTCACGGAAGAATTTTCTAATAGTAATAAATTTATACCTCCTTATTAGACGCGCCACTATGTGAATGCAACTCTTTTATTACCGCGATTCTCGGTCGCCGCTTTCTTCACCGCTCTCCTCGCCGCTTTGTTCGTCGCTCCAGTATGTGTTTAGCCTTAGGCAACAAGAGATTTAAGAGATTCAGGAGATTTATCTTATCTCTTTAAATACCTTTAGTCATTCGTAGTAATGCTAGTAATAACAATCGACAATCATAAAATATTCTATATATTAGATATCAAGGCCCATTAGCTCAGTTGGTTAGAGCGTCGTGCTAATAACGCGAAGGTCGCGGGTTCGATCCCCCCATGGGCCATTATTTTTGTTTAAGTTTTCTGTTATCCAATTAGCTTATTAATAATCCAAATGTATATGAATTTATTTTTATCGTATTTTAGGTCGTTTCGTCAACAAGTATTCAAAACTAAAAAAACAAACCTACCACCGCCAATAGACTCCCCAAATTTAATACCTTCATCATTGGATCTAAAAGCGTTTTTCGATCAAACATTTACGCCTCCAATCGATTTTCAAGATGCAACTGAAAAGGTAAAGGATGCAACCAACCCTTCTCCTGACGAAACGAATTTAGTAATAAACGACTCTAATTCAGAAGATGATGTAACTATAATACCTAATAAAGATTCATCCCCAAAAAATAAAGACAACAACGACGTGGTTAACCTTTGCTCAATAAATTTTAACGATTTTGAGGAACCAATGTCTATACCAAAAGCACGTGATAAAAATACGAGTAAAAACAATGCAAATAAGGACATAAACTTAAGTATAACTGAAAGCGAACTGCTGCTATTAGTAGAACCTGAAAATATAAATAGCGAATCTTTCCAACATGTTATTACAAGTACACAAAATAGCATTAAAAGGAAAAAATTTGAATCATTGGAAATATCACCGATTCGAAGCGAAAAAAGGAAACGAAATTCCTTAGATTTAATTAATAAATCGAAAAGTTCACCTTTAAGTATTGTAGTTTCTCAAAAACCCTCAATGCCTGAAAGTCGGTTTTTATCGTCGCGTAAACAAAAAAGTATTCTTAGTTTTGTTAAACCAGATAAAATCGATAAAAACGCAACTATTGTCTCAATAGGATCTTCGCCGTCTTCATCACTTACACCAACACCATACGTTTGTTGTACTCGTTTAAATAGAGAACAATTGAAGCTCGTTGTAGAATTAACAAAAAAGAAATTAATCAAATACAGCAATAATTTTACTTCGAATATAACTCATATCATTTGTACGACGAATGAGAATAATTATATTCATGACCATACTATGAAATTATTGAAAGCAATTGCTTATGGAAAGTGGGTTGTTAATGTTAAATGGATTCAAGATTGTTTAACACATGACAAAATTATGCCGGAGGAAGATTACGAAGCTTTAGATATGTCTGGCGAACCAGGACCGAAAATTTCGCGGTTACATTTAACCGAGAAATTATTGAAAGGATTTAAAATTTATTTGGAACCTCCGTTCGCCTCGGCGAGTAAAGAAGAAGTTGAGGAATTGATAACTGTTTTGAGCGGAGAAGTTTTGACGAGTTTTCAAGATTTATTTGGCGAGGAAGGTATTCGGTTGATTGTTGCTGAATCTAATGGGACGCAAGATGATTATAAATTTGAAGGTAAATACTAATTTTTTTTACTTATACACTAAATGTATTAGTTATTTCAGAATGGAGTAGAAAATATAAAGTGTTTGTTGTTGATATCGAATGGTTAAGTCGTTCAATTGGACAATACAAATTGGTTAGTTTAAGACCATTCGGGTTATGTTCCGATGATAACATTCATCAAATGGGTTACCCAAGAAATTTGACGATTGAAGCATCTTTTAGTTACACACAAAACGCTGTGGCCATTAATAAGTAATAATAAGTTCAAAACTAGATACATAGTGTATGTATATTTCCTGTACTAGCCATATATTTCCTCATTATTATTTAAAAAAAGTTACAATTATTTTTTGATATGTTATAACAAAATATATATTTTTTTAAAATGTTTTTTATTTAGTTTATATTATTTATAAAACAATTTATTTAACCGTAATTGAAATAATTCGTATGTCATCATAAGGTTTGTCGGTTTTAGCGTTCGTTTTAACGTTACTTATATTTTGTACAACTTCCATTCCTTTAAAAACTCTGCCAAACACCGTATGCTTATTATCCAGCCAAGGAGTGGGGGTTAGTGTTATAAAAAATTGACTTCCGTTTGTATTTGGTCCTGCGTTTGCCATTGAAAGTGTGTAGGGTCGATCGTGTCTTAAATGAGGTCTTAATTCATCGTCAAATTCGCCACCCCAAATACTTTCACCTAAAACAAAGAAAATAATATTATTTACACACACATAATATACAGGATGTTCATTTCAAAACTTTCCACCTCAATTTCTGTAAATCCGGAAGTTTAAAAAGAAAATCGCTGAAATAGGTAAAGAATAAAACCAAGGGGGACAACTTTTTATGCAAAAATTGACCCCCTTAAAAATCTTAAATGGAAAGGGGTGTCAAGTGATACCTCATTTTAAAGGTCTTTTAAGGTACTACATGTTAGTATTTATTTTTTTAAATTGATCGATTCGTTTTCGAAATTTTTGCGAAAATCTTTGTTTTGTATTTCCCGCTTTAATTAAACCTTTATTATTTCGGAGCAATCGGAAATATTTAAGAAAACTAAACACGTATAATTATGAATTAAACTAAATTTTATTGAAAGTATTTTACATTAAACCTGTATGAAAATTACTCTTGACTCGAATGGCCAAAAAAAAGGAAAAAAAGAGACGAAATTTTTCTCTTTCTATAAACGAGTTATAGGCAGGCTCACAGTGCGAGAAAAGAATGAAATAAAAGTGCAATTTTAAACATAAGTTTATTTGGTTATTACTTAAACAACATTGTATTATCCACTTAACAAAGTTATTTAAATAAAACAGCAATAATGGTTTACAGTTTGCAGGAAAGGATTGAAATTGTATTAATGTATGGATCCCAAAATGAATGTGCTCGACGAACTGCCGCAGTTTTTAATGAAAGGCATCCAGATAAGAACGTATCTCATACATACGTCCTGAATCTTATGAAGAAATTCACTCAGGCTGGGTCCGTTGCCAACATAAAACATAATGAGTCGAGAGTTTTGAATGAAACCGCTCAACTGGAAGTGTTGGGTCATTTCGGTATCAACCCCAATACTTCATTGCGTCAGGTACCTCGTGCAACTAGTATATCCTTGGGTTCTGTTCATAAAGTTGTAAAACTTGACAAATTCCATCCTTATAAATTGAAAATACATCAAGAGCTAACTGAAGACAGGAGAATAGTTTTGTGAAGAAGTGACCACTATTATTAATAATAACAATGTTTTTGTGAAAAATATCTGCTTTAGTGATGAATGCACTTTTTCTTTAAATGGATTTGTAAATAAACATAACTGCAGATATTGGAGTAATGAAAACCCTCATCTGACTGTAGAAGGGCATACACAATATCCTGAAAAAGTTAATGTATGGGCCGGCATTTTGGGAGACCAAGTGATTGGTCCAGTGTTTATCGATGGAAATTTAAACGGCGAAGTGTACTTGGATATGTTAGAAAATACTATCAATCCACTAATTACGGAAGCTCTCGAGAATCAGTTGGATAGAGAAGAAAATGCCTTACTTGATGAGAATGAATTACATTTTCAACAAGACGGAGCTCCTCCTCACTATGTTCTCCCAGTACGACAGTGGTTAGATAATACGTTTCCAAACAGATGGATAGGACGAAGAGGTCCTATAGAATGGCCAGCCAGATCACCAGATTTGACGCCATTAGACTTTTTTTTATGGGGTCATTTAAAGTCTGTTGTATTTACCCCTCAACCTCAAAATTTAGAAGAACTTCGTCAGAGAATTACTGCAGCTTGCCGTGGAATTCAAAGGGAAGTTTTTGAAAATGTGCGCCGTAGTTTTGAACAACGGTTGTACCATTGTTTAGCTAATAACGGACAACACTTTGAACAATTATTAAGTTGATTTTCTCTGCAAAAAGTTTTTGTACATAATTAAATAACTGAAAATAAAATAGAACGTTTCAAGCAGTTAAAAGTTGTTTAAGTAATAACCAAATAAACCTAAAAGAAAAGAAAAATGAAACAGAAATCGTTTTTTCTAAATATCTCTGACAGACGCCAGGCAAGCTAGCCAACGTAGGTATATCATTGTCAAAATAACCTAAATATCAAAGATTTCGGATTGCTCCGAAATAATAAAGGTTTAATGGTCGTTGTAAAAACGAACATGGTAATTTAATTTTATAAATTAATAATAAAAGATTACTTATTCTTGCTTTTAAGAAGGTGATTAAAGTTTTTAATATTAATTAAAGCGGGAAATACAAAACAAAGATTTTCGCAAAAATTTCGAAAACGAATCGATCAATTTAAAAAAAATAAATACTAACATGTAGTACCTTAAAAGACCTTTAAAATGAGGTATCACTTGACACCCCTTTCCATTTAAGATTTTTAAGGGGTTGGTTTCTGGCGGCGGGGGGTTGAAGTCAAGGTTTATAGAACATAAGGTTACCTCATTCCCTATGCCTCTGTAGTATCGATTATTACCCCGCAAATTGACGTCACTGGTTCGATACAGTCAGAATAAAAGATAGATACGTGCCAACGTGCCTATACTGTGGTACAGCCCTTGTTTATAGATATATCTATAAACAAGGGCGTTGTGTTGTTCATAGAACCAGCTACGGCACTGACCCACCTTGCCTCTCAGAGGAGGAGAATCGGTATTGGGTAACCTTATGTTCTATAGACCTTGGGTTGAAGTGAGTGAGTCAATTTTTGCATAAAAAGTTGTCCCCCTTGGTTTTATTCTTTACCTATTTCAGCGATTTTCTTTTTAAATTTCCGGATTTACAGAAATTGAGGTGGAAAGTTTTGAAATGAACATCCTGTATACAGCACGCATCATATGGAACTGTCTAATTTGAAAACGGTTCGAGATACCATCATGAGCCGAAAATTGGCGACTTTCATTTTTTTGTTAACCCAAATAATTGAACATAAAATTGATTATCAGTTTTAGTTTTTCCGGAAAACGGATCAACTGTGTTTTCATGGTGTTTTTATCGGCGTTGGAAGAACGTGGTTCTGGTTAGTTCTGGTGCGCTATAAAAATCAATTAATTAAGTAATCTAAGCCCCGCGGTAAGTAATACGATTAATCTTAAGCGATAGAGCCGTTACCCTCAATCGAATACAAAGACCGTCTTTAAAAAAATCGATAAACTATGTAAAAATAGAAGGATTATTAACATTTTCAGATCCTAAAATTGTTTAAATTTAGTAATAATTGATACTAAAATTCAAAATCCTCTCTATAAAAGCTTTGATGACGTTTACAAAGTTTTCGCGTAAGGTTGTCGTGGCATCTTGCTCATGCACCTTTCATTGATTTTGATTTCAACCAACCGCGTGCGAAACGACGATGACGTCCCCAAAGTTTTTCCAATTTTCAAAACTTAAAAAAAACTTAAGCCCACTTTGAAAAATGAAAAATTATAGAAGTCTTCAATTTTGCTAAACTGTCGAATAAGCTAATAAAGAAACATTTATAACGGCCCATTATAGATTAATTTTTAGTCATAGTAGGCGTTACAAAGAGCCGGGTATACGGCTTTTAAATGAATAATCAAGTTATAGATCACAATCATCAGAGTGTTTGGTCAATCAAGTCCCCTCGTTAAAAATACTGAAAATACGATAATACTACGTACAATTGTAGGGATCTACCACCGTGTCCCGTATCTTCCGCATCAGAGCATTATGCCGTTGTAGGATACATTATTCTGAAGCGATTTTTCTAATAAATTTTTTTCGAAATGTTTATAATAACCGCACGGGAACCGTCCAATGGCAGATCGTAAATCAGATTCAGGTAATCGGCGGGACCACCGCGCCGATCAAAACACTTTTCTCACGTGTATTTACCAATAGATTCGCCACTCAAAGAGAAATAAACATTTTTCGTGAATCAAAATCGTCTGTTATTGGACAAACGCCGAGAATTTTAAACAGTTCCCGTGCGGTTATTATAAAGATTTCGAAAAAACTTTATTAGAAAAATCGCTTCAAAATAATGCATCCTTCAACCGTTAATCCGTCCTCTGATGCGGAAGATACGGGACACTTCTGTATAGTATATGTGGAATCCATAGATAAAACATTGGAAATCTACTCGATATGGAGGTAGGCAAAAAGTTATTTGAAAGCGGTTTAAAAGGAATTATGAGAGTAGACAAGAGAGGGAAAAATAGAATTGAAGCCAAATTTAACAATGTAGGATCAAATTCCCCTAAATACAGCTTCAGAAGTAGAAAAGAGTGGAGGAAGAGGGGATGCAAGTTTTGTATGTTAAAGTGGGGTGGAGGTACGGGGAGTGCGTAACTAGCGGTAAGGGAGAGACGTTCGTTTTTGACCAATGGTGTATTTTGAGGTTAAGTTACATTACATAGATTACATATATAGGGTAGGCGGACCAACCAACCTTGCACCGCGACCCTAAGGATCTATTGTCCCCCAATGCTCTTAACGAATATTAATACCTTGTTCTGTAAAAAGTTATTCAGATCCTTTGGGGAGATAAACTGCGACCCAAAAATCAAGAATCTGCTACGATTAACAGCAGGGCAGTGGCAAAAAACATGCTCAACCGTTTCCTCGTCCTCCGCACATAGTCGGCATTCAAAATCGTCGGCTAGACCCAACAAGTTGACGTGTGTTTTTAGTCGGCAGTACCCAGTAAAGACACCCATTAGAACATTAATGCTGCTACGAGCAAGTTCTTAAATATTCCCCGGTTTGATAGTGGCGATGTTAATAAAAATCTTAGCATGTTTCATTCCACGAGAACTGGTCCACAGTAGGCGAAGTCTCTCTTCAGCCCACAGTCGAATCTTATCGCCATCTCATTTAAGCCATCGCAAATGATACACCAAGAGTGACCT